TGTGGAGCTGGATTTTCAGGTAGATGGTGAAGCTGTGGTGGTGCCCACTGCAAAATAGGTGCTTGTTGTTGTTGTGGAGCTGGATTTCCAGGTGGATGTTGATGCTGTGGTGGTGCTAACTGTAAAATAGGTACCTGTGCCTGGAGTTGTGGAATGGCAGGAGGTAGTGCTAACTGTAGCTGTTGTTGCTGTTGTGGAGCTGGATGTCCAGGTGGATGGTAATGCTGTGGTGGTTCCCACTGTAAAATAGGTGGTTGTTGCTGCTGTGGATGGTGATACTGTAGTGGTGCAACTACATTTCTTGGTTGATGACCATGCTGTGGATGTGGTGCTGACTGTAAAATTTGTGGCTGCACTTGAGCAGGTTGGCCTAATGGTGGTAAAGCAGCATACTGAGCATACAGAGCAGCTACTCCAGCAGAGCCAACTGCAGGCTGGACAGCTTCATCTGCAGGTGCACCCTGTTGTATATATGGTGCTAATTGAAGAAGTGGTTGCTGGAGTTGAGCAGCTACATTGCCTCGTACATGACCTGGTGCCTGTGGCTGAACAAGTGCATTTGCTGGTTGATGACCCTGCTGGATATGTGGTGCTAACTGCAAAACTGGTTGCTGCAATTGAGCAGCTGGATTTCTCTGTCCACGATCCTGCCTAAGAGGTTGTAATGGTGGCAAATCTGCATACTGCCTATGCAAAAGAGCCACTGCATCAGAGCCAACTATAGCAGAGCCACCTGCAGTAGAGCCACTTGCAGTAGAGCCACTTGCAGCAGAGCCGCTAGGTGGATGGTGATGCTGTGGTGGGGCCAACTGCACAATGGATCCTGTGCCTGGAGTTGTGGTATGATATTAGCAGGTGGATGACCATGGTGCAGTGGTGCAGATTGGACAATTTTAGCAGCTTTATTTCCTCGTCCACGACCCCACCTAAGAGGCTGTAATGGTGGCAAATCTGCATACTGTTTAAGCAAAAGATCCACTGCATCAGAGCCAACTGTGGCAGAGCCACTTGCAGCAGAGCCGCTTGCAGCAGAGCCACTTGCAGCAGAGCCGCTTGCAGCAGAGCCGCTTGCAGCAGAGCCGCTTGCAGCAGAGCCGCTTGCAGCAGAGCCGCTTGCAGCAGAGCCGCTTGCAGCAGAGCCGCTTGCAGCAGAGCCGCTTGCAGCAGAGCCGCTTGCAGCAGAGCCGCTTGCAGCAGAGCCGCTTGCAGCAGAGCCGCTTGCAGCAGAGCCGCTTGCAGCAGAGCCGCTTGCAGCAGAGCCGCTTGCAGCAGAGCCGCTTGCAGCAGAGCCGCTTGCAGCAGAGCCGCTTGCAGCAGAGCCGCTTGCAGCAGAGCCGCTTGCAGCAGAGCCGCTTGCAGCAGAGCCGCTTGCAGCAGAGCCGCTTGCATGAGAGCCACTTGCAGCAGAGCCACCTGGCTGAGCAACCAAAAATGGATTATCAGATTGACCTCTACCAACAGGAAGATGGAGATCTCGGAATGGTTGAAGAGGAGGCGGTATATTAGAATTCACAGCTAAACACCGATGACGATCAGATGGAGATGTCATTTGCAATTGCGCCCTATGCTGCCTTCGCTCCTCCTCCCGATTACGCTCAGGTGTTCGATCCATCCTAATATAGCAATCACAGCAGTAGCAGCAGAGAGAGAAACCCTGCAAGAGAGGGGGAAGAGAGGAGGGGCAGAAAGTTGTAGTGAATTAGGCTAAAATAAGCCAAAGAAAATTACAGGGAAAGGACTCACTTTCAATACTCCACTTATACTTATAGGGAGTGGTCACAAACACAGTAGAGAGTGGCAGGGAAAAGAAATGCAGACAAATGGGTCTAAAATAGCCTAAAAACACGAAAAATAATGCATAAATATTTTTTAATAGCACGAGGAAAGGTACCAATACAAACCTGGAGATATGTTATATCTTCCAGTAACAATAGAACCCGCAATCAAGGCAAAATGGCCCAGAATAGTGGGTCAATTTCACTGTAAGAACAATATTTGAGTAAAAAAAGGTAAGATTAATTACAGGGACAGGAATCACCTTCAATACTCGACTTATAATCACAGAGAAGACTCAAAAAGCAGTGGAGAGTCCCAGGGAAAGGAAATTCAGACAAATAGGTCTAAAATAACCCAAAAATGGGACAAATAATGCATAAATATATTACAACAGCATGAGAAAGTCCAAAACATACCTGATATTATAGAATAGTCTTCAGACTGTGTATTTCAAAATTATGAATGAGAAGAACACCTGGGAAAGGGTAATTTGACTGCAAATAAATTATTTAATCATTAAAAAAAGTGAAAATTAAATAATAATTGGTAGAAGCTCACCACACCTTTTATATTGCCTGAGGAGTTGAAGAAGGCTTCAGAGATGATAAATGCTCAATATGGGGGGTCCAGGGCCAGTGGATAGCCAGACTCTAACTGCAGAATAATATATTTAATTATTAAAAAGGCCAAATTTAATATAATTAAATAGAGGCCTCAACACACCTTGGTATGGGTCCAAATACCTTGAGAAATATTCCAAAGAGCAGCCTCTCACAATGTAAAGAGGACAAAGCTGGGGAGGGAGAGGGGAAGGGAGAAGGTGTGGCAGCCTCAAGGCTTTACAGCGGGCTTCTGGGCCTCCCGTGGCTATGGCCGAAAATGTTCCCACGTGTCACCAATGTCACGGAAAAGCTCCCGTGCATGTCACAGAATGCTCCCGCGAATGCCAAAAAGCATCCGGATTTGCTCCCGTGCTGACTAATTACTCTGCGCCCTCACGGATTAGGGTGCCTTCGGCACCTAAAAGTGCCCACCACCCACCGTACAACTTTACTTTATTTGATGTTTTTAATTTATTTAATTACCTCAGAAATATTTATTTGTAAGACTACTTTACATCATACATGTATTACTAAAACTACACAAGGCTGTGACCTGTGGGGGACAAGCCCCCACCATGCTACCACCCCACAACTTTACTCGGTCGCTTCGCGACCTGGTGGATCAATGTCTTTAAAGACTACATAAGCAATTTGTATTACCTTCTGTGACCACTTCTGTACATTCCAGCTTCCCATTTATTCATTCAGAAATTTATGTTAAAGTGATTAAATTTTACATTATTCACAATTATATATACTATATACTTTTGTAAATTCACTGAACCTAAAAAATATAAGTCAGTCTCCTTCTGGAACCTTGCTGAATACTTATGTAGTCATGGATCAATAATAACATCCTTAAACACTACATATTTGGCTTGAAATAGTATTTTTATTCTTCCTCAATTTGTTTCTTTTGAAGTGTCAGGTGTTTTGTTCCACATTGGACTTCCAACTTCCCATATGGCTGTGATTGCCCTTCCCATATCATATTGGGGACTTCTGCAGATTCTAGCTCCCTATTTATTCTCTTTCATACTCATACCCCACTTTCCTTCCATTCCACTCATCTGTCTGTCATTGAATCTTTTAGTATACATTATTGTCTTGTATCCTACTAATCTCCAGTTCAAACATTGATTTAGACCCTTTCTGTTAAGAACCACAATGTTCAGGCCCCTATGTGTATTTTCAACCTACATATACTGTCCTCTGGCATTGTGATACCCAACAACACACCCACTTAATGATTTCCTTTTCCAGCCACTCTATCTCAGTTCTGTTCTAATGACATTCCATTATTCCTTGCATCATTTCACCATATCATTTACCACCTCAGAATATTTAACTTTCTTCTGCTGTCTTGTATTCCTTTTCTTAATATCCTGTTCAGTTTCCTGATGTCCTTTGTTCTGTGAATATCAAATCTCCAATTTCAGCTGTGTTTCCATTTACTTTAGATAAAACCTGTTAGGACTGGAAAACCCACTGGGCTCCAGACTCCATCCTACATGCACCTAACTCACTATACCAAGCTACAGCTAAACCAGAAAACCCACTGGGACCCAGATGTCAAGCCTGTCTATGCCCGACCCTCTGTGTCTCACACATCAGTCATCAGACTCTGCCAGGTCCCACACACATCAAAGCCTGTCTATGTCTGACCCCATTCCATACACCAGTCACCAGGCTCTGCCTGGATAACCTGACAGCTCTCTAACTGAGCCCTGTTCCTGTTATAGTCTAATGACCTGTCATGTTTCAGACTCTGCCTCCATTCCATTCTGTTCCTAATACCTAGTTTGGTGTTTACTCATCTTGTTTCATGATTACTTGTTTAGGATTTCATTATTACTGGATTTGGTATAACATACATTCCACACTCTATATAGTCTGGCAGATGTTGTACATACAATCCAGTCAGAAAATCAGCTTAGATCCCCCCAGTAATCTCATTATATTTTCCACTCTATTCCTCTCTTTGAAACACACCGCTATTTACCTCATCAGAGCCCATACATAGGCTCTGACCTATCTTCACTTGACCTCCAACCCATCACCACCCGACCCCTTAACCTCCACGGGATTCCTGCAATCAACCCTCCAACCTCTTGACCACTAACTACTCCCAGACTCCCTGGGATTCCTGTCTGCCTGTCTGAAATTGGATGCCATGATCTCATGAGGGTGCAGCCTATAAGCTGAAGCCAAGTCCTACTGGATTATCTGTGGGTTTCTCCAGAAATCCTCTGCTAAGCCCTGCATGCAACTTAACAAAACCCCATCATGTACATACACTACTATCCTTCAGTTTGAATATTGACTCAGAATACCCATTTGTAATATCTCTCTCATGTTTAGAAGTGCATGCAATAATACCTTCATTTACCTTTTAAGTATTGTTCATACTGCTTAATCCTTTGCTAGTGTCTGGCCAGACTGAGACTTATGATCCTTTTTGACCTTAGCCTCTGGGCCCTCATTTACAGTGAAGTGCCATAATCCATCCTGCATTCATACTCCCTGTCAAGACCCGTTCCCAGGAACTCCATGGAGTATCCTTCAGATATTATATTAGGTTCTGAATCATCTGTTAGAATTACATAATAGGGTGAAAAGTATTGACCTGAGCTGGATTTGAATCAGTGACCACTATGTCTGGATTACATGTCTAGTGCTCTTAACCCCTGAGCTATCAGGCCATTAAGAGTAGTTCTATTAAGAACCAGTTACTACTGAGATGATTAGTCATCAGTAAGATATTAATATATCCAGGTCAACCATTGCTCATTCAACACCATCTTCCAGACCAGTATCAAGATCTGGAATCCACTGGAACCTGACCCTTATCCCTCAAGTACCCTTTGACTCACATCCCATTCTGTCAGTCTGCTCCCTGACCAGGCACCTTCTGTTATGACCCAGAAAACCTGCCAGACTCTGGACTCCACCCTATATACACCCAACACTCTGTATCTCATGGACCAGTCACCAGACTCTGACTGGACTCCCAGAACCCCTCTAACAGAGCATAGAACCCTGCTCCCATGTCCCATGACCTGTCATGATTTGTCTGTGTCTCATGCACCAGTCCTTGGACTCTGCCAGACCTGCAAATCAACCTGTTTATACCCAACTCTCTGTGCCTGGTACTGGACTCCAACTGGACTCCCAGAACCCTGCTAACAGAGCTAGAACCCTGCTCCCATTATGGTCTCATGACCTGTCATGTTTTAGACCCCACTCCCATTCTGTTCCATCCCTAATACCTAGTTTGGTATTTACTTGTTTCATTTTATGTTTAATAGTTCTGCCCCTCATTAATACCAGATTTGGTATTATTACATTTCACAGTCTATATAAGTCTCCTATATTCATGTACTTAGAATCCAGTTTGAATCTCAAACAAGTTACACCCCTGATCCAGTCTCTGCTTCTCTCATCTGTCTGCATGCTCAATTCCCAGAACTCCCACGGGAACTCCAGAATCTACATCATGTATGCATTCTGTCAGTTTGAAATATGGATGCCTGAATGAGTGTACAAGGGCACAGCACATAAGTTGAAGCCAAGTCCATCTCTCAGCAGTACAACCTTCTGGTAATTATTCTGATACCACATTCCTTGTACTAATATCCCCAGAAACTTCCCTTATTACTCAGGGACTCCATTGGACATTACTGGAAAGTGTGTTTGGAATAATTACTGGAAACACTCTGTGGGACTTCCTCAGAACTTATCTTTGTTCGGAACTTAACACTTCCCTTCTACTCATCTGTCTGTTATTAAATATTTTAGTATGAATTATTGTCTTATATTCTACTAATCTCCAGTTCAAATATTGACTTAGAGCCTACCTGTTAGGAATTATGTCATTTAGGCCCCTATGTGTGTTTTCAACCTATACTCTGGCATCCCGACATTGGTAGTCCTGATGCACCATTTCTGATGATGGTGTACTGACAACTTACCCACCTAATGACTTCATTTTCTAGCCACTCCATCCCATTTTTCTTCTGATGGCATTCCATTATTCCTTGGATCACTTCACCACATCATTTGCCACCTCAGAGTATTTATCTTTTTTCTCTTGTCTTTCATGACCCCCTGTTCCATTTTCCCAATTTCCTGTGTCCTGTTAATATAAAATCACCATTTTCAGTCCTCCATGCTTCCATTTACATTAGTATAAAATCCTATTTTGTACACTACTACCCTTCAGTTTAAATATTGACTCAGAATCCCCATTTAGAATCCTCCTCATTTATAGAAGCTTATGGAATGATACCTTCATTTATTTTAAAGTATTGTTCATCCTGCTTAATTCTTTTGCTAGTGTCTAGCTACACTAGGACTTACTACCTTTGCAACCTTAGCCTCTGGACCTCCAGTTGATATATATACAGCTATGTTGTTATGACCAGAAATCCCACCGGACTCCAGGCACTAACTTATATGCACCCACACCCTATACACACCAATTGTCAGTTTACCAGAATTCCTGCCCAGACTCCGTATGTCAGACTTGTCTACATTCGACCTCGTTATGTCATGTATCAGTCACTGGAATACCCACTGGACTCCATCCCTGTCTATGTCTGACCTCATCCCACATGTCAGTCACTGGACCCCACTCGGAAAACCCGCCATCACTCTAACTGAGCCCCATTCCCATTTTAGTCAAATGACCTGTCACGATTTGGACTCCACTCCCGCTCCATTTCCCATTATGGTTTATGATTTGTCACGATTTGGACTCTGCTCTATTCCATCCTGTTCCTAACACCAATTTGGTGCTTACTATTCTCATTTTATGTTTTGCTAGTTCTGTTTCATTATTACTGGATTTGGTATGTCATTCATTCCACAGTCTATATAGTCTGGCAGATGTTATACATACAATCCAGTCAGAAAATTGGCTTAGATTCCCCCAGTAATCTAATACACTCTAAACTCCTCCTTGAATTACACCACTCTCACTAGTCAGAGCCCATGGGCTCCGATGCATCTATCTCTCAACCTCTGACTTATTTATCTCAACTTCCCGACCTCTTGACCCACGAACCCTGCCTGGGCTCCCCAGGTTTCCCGTCCACCTGTTCAAAATTGGACAACACAATCTTGTGAGGGGGCAGCCTATAAGCTGAAGCCAAGTCCTACCGGATTCCCCACAGGTTTCTGGAGAAACCTGCCATGTATGTATCCTAACATATGTACATAACTGCCAGTATACATACATCCTGCCACATTCCTCATCTATTCCTTCCACATGGGTCTTTATATAGTCATTTCTAGACCCCCATTTGATAGAGAGTATGCCTAGAAGAGTTGAGGCTGTTTTGAAGGCCAATGGAGGCTATACCAAGTACTAGATTGTTTGATTTGTATTTTTTTAATTCCAGGGACAAAACCCTTCCAATGATTTTTAGTTGTGCAAAGATTCTTGAATAACTCAAGAACCACTGTAGATATAGACCTGAAATTTGGTGGTTGGTTAGGTCTAACATGTTATCTATATGCCCTTAAAATATTATGACATAAGCATTAGTATTTCCCATGCTATAAATAAAATAATAATAAAATCACATTGGAAGGGTTTTGTCCCAGTCACATTATTAACACAAAACCTTATTGATTATCTGCAAATAAGGTTTTGTTTAATCATGTGACCTGTCAAAATTAGATATATATATAGCTGTTCACTTTCTAGTTCAACAACATCCCTACAACTCAACATTCTACACCATGAAAGCTCTTACTCCTCCTCGGGTTAGCCACATTCTCATTTGCTCAATAAGGGCAGGTCTACTTCTCAGATCTCTGCAATCACTGGCAGAGATCTGTTTACTATATCCATAATTCACTTTACCCATTGCCCATCACTTGCCAAAGCACCTGGTGGCCATCCATGCAAGCTTTCTCCCTCAGATATTCATTATTCCCTCTAACAAATCACTTCTCAGAAGGCAGAACATGCCACTGAGGTGACCAAAATCCTTCAAAATATGACTGGACAGTCCATTTCAGTGAAGACTGTTCATAGAGCACTCAAGAAGGCTGGAATGAGGGCTGTGGTGGAGAGAAAAGGCCTTTACTCACTAAGAGGCATAGGAAGGCAAGGATGGGCTTTGCTCTGGCACACAAGGACTGGACTGTGGATGATTGGAAGAGGGCTGTTTGGTTAGATGAGACAAAAATCAATTGTTTGGAGTCAGATGGGAGGAAGTAGGTGTGGAAAAAGGCAGGAGAGGGGCTCAGTGATAGGGTGGCTGAGGGTACAGTCAGGTTTGGAGGAGGAAATCTGATGTTGTGAGGCTGTATGTTGTGGGAAGGACCAGGATATTCGACCAAAATTGATGGAAGGATGGATGCTGACCTTTATGTTAGCATTATGGAAGATGAACTTCAAGAAATCATGGAGTATTATGGCAAGAACACAGGAGATGTGGTCTTTCAGCAAGACAATGACCCCAAACACAAGAGCAAAAAGGCCACCAATTGGTTTAAAGTCAATGGATTTGTGGTCATGGTATGGCCACCTCAGTCTGCTGACCTTAATCCAATTGAACACTTCTGGTATTACCTCAAAAGGAGGCTGGGTGGCACCCAAGAGTATTCATGACTTGTGGGAGAGGGTTCAGACAGAGTGAAAGAAGATCCCTGCCTCTACTTGTCAGAACCTGATAGAGAGTATGCCTAGAAGGGTTGAGGCTGTTTTGAAGGCCAAGGGAGGCTATACCAAGTACTAGATTGTTTAATTTGTATTTTTTTAATACCAGGAACAAAACCCTTCCAATGTGATTTTATTAGTGTTTTATTTATAGCATGGGAAATACTAATGCTTATGTCATAATATTTTAAGGACATATAGGTAACATATAGACCTAACTGTAATCCCGTCGTCAATTGGGATCACTGGCAGTCACACAAGTTGACAGGACCACGGTGTATTGTCCAGAGCAGAACAAGATACAGGCAAGTGCAGCGTACGGTAAGATCTAAGGTCCTGAAAACTTCCCGGCTACTTATACCGTAAAACGCGGTGATTATGTAATCACGTAAAACTAAAGGGTCCGTGCGTAAGACTGGGGGCACCAGGATTACACTAACCAACCTCCAAATTTCAGGTCTGTATCTACAGTAGGTCTTGAGTTATTCAAGAATCTTTGCACAACTAAAAATCATTGGAAGGGTTTTGTCACTCACTGTATGTCATAATATTCTAAGGGCATATAGATAGCATATAGACCTAACCAACATCCAAATTTCAGGTATGTATCTACAGTGGTTCTTGAGTTATTCAAGAATCTTTGCACAACTAAAAATCATTGGAAGGGTTTTGTCCCTCACTGTAAGTCCACTAGGTTCGCATGAAATAGTTTCATGCATTTGAGAAATACTCCTGTGGCCTCACAAAATACTCTTGCACATCACAAAATATGTACTTTTCCATGCATTACAAATGCTTCCATGGCACTAAAAAATACTCCCACAAGTGCTGAAAAGCTCCTGCAGTATTAAAAATACCCCTGTGAGTGCAAAAATGCTTCTGGATTTGCTTCTGTGCTGACATACAGTGACTCAAAAAACCCTTCGCATGTTTTGTACTTCAGATTTATATCCCTGATAACTCAAAGAATAAAAATCCAAAAATATCAAGAATATTTGTGAACATGCTCTATCATATCTAGATTATGGAAGT